ACACTGAATCCTGGTCTGGAGGCCCATCATGCATAGACATTACCAAGAAAATAGAGTGTAATATTTGTTTTATATCCAAATAGACCTAATAATAAGACTTTAGATTTCCTTGTGGGTTTTTTTTTAAGGTGTATGAATTTGGGGAATTGATTTTTTTTAAGGTTTATTTATTTTTATTTTAGAGAGAGAGCGAGCCTGGGGCGGGGGGCGGGGGTGGGGGGGGAGGAAGGGCGGGCAGAGGGAGAGGGAAAGAGAATCCTCAAGCAGACTCAGTGCTGAATGGGGAGCCCAATGCGGGGCTCGATCCCAGGATCCCAAGATTGTGACCTGAGCCAAAATTAAGAGTTGGACACCTCACACTGAGCCACCCAGGCGCCCTGAGAAATTGGTTTTTAAAAGAAGTTGGGTGCTTTGTAAATAAAGGCAAACAGGGGAAAAGGAGACTATGTGTTATGTAAATTATTCCTCAAAACCAGCCCAGCCAGATAAGTGCTATTATCCCGTTTTACAGACCAGAAAAGCAAGGTTTGGAGAATTATATAATTTTCCCATGCTCTGGTTCATTAAGTGGAAGAATGAATAAATTTTAACCTTTATCCCTTCCATCTACTAACAAGTATTTATTGAGGACCTACTGTGTACTTACTCTGGACACTGGGGAACCAAATAATTATTTGAACCTGTATCTTCTGATTCTGAAAGCTGTTCTTTCTCCCCCAGAGTCTGGTGACAAAGATCATTTCAATCTGAGCTCGAGGGAAGTTGGATTACTCTATGATTATGCAAGTCGGTAATGAGATGTACAGGGAGTGGAGGGTATGGGAGCATCAAACAGGGCATGGCAGACGGAATGCTAGGTTTATAGGCTGAGCAGGGAGGACCCAAACCATTTTGCCTGCTACTTTAAAAAATGAAAATAACGAACAACCACAAAAAGAATAAACAACAAAAATTTTTATGGTTACATTTTCTGATTACCAAACATGGGGGAAAAAAGTATATAGAGACAAAAATCATTTTTGATGTTACAAACCAGAGATATGACTATAATTATCTTAGAGTATGTTTCTCCCGTCCATTTTTCTCTGCTTTGGCTGCTTAAAATTTTTTTCTCTGATTTTGGCTTTTAGCAGTTTTGTGTATTAGGTCTGTGTGTGGTTTTCTTCATATTTATCTGTTTGGGGACTTTGTGAATCTGTAGGGGGATGTCTTTTATCAGTTTTGGGGACTTTTTCAGCCATTATCTCTATATGCTAATTTTACTCCGTTTCTTTTCTCCAGGGACGTCAGGTACATGCCTTTATTAAGCTTCTCACTGTTTCTTTACATTTTCCACTTTTTTGACTCTTGGGCTTCATTCTGAATTCTTTCTTGTAAGTTATGTTTCAGTTTATTAACACACGTGAGCTGTATCTGATTTGCTATTAAACTCACCCACTGAGCTTTACGTTTCTGCCATTGTCACTTTTTAGTTCTAGATTGCTCCTTTGGTTAGTTTCTAAGGTTTCCAGTCTTCTACTGAAGCTCTCAGTTTTCTGTTTTATTTCCTTGAGCATGCTTGCCATATTTATTTTCAACTACAGCATCTGAATCCTTCTTAAATCTGTTTCTATTGCCTGTGTTTCTCTTGAATTTTAGCCATATAGTTTTTTTTTTTTTTAAGATTTTGTTTTTAAGTAATCTCTACACTTAATGTGGGGCTCGAATTTACAACCCCAAGCTTAAGAGTCCCATTGAGCCAGCCAGGCAACCCCAGCCATACAGTCTTTTTTTTATTTATTTATTTATTTATTTATTTATTTATTTGAGAGAGAGAGAAACAGCATGAGAGGGGATAGGGTCAGAGGGAGAAGCAGGCTCCCCGCCGAGCCGGGAGCCCGATGCGGGACTCGATCCTAGGACCCCGGGATCATGACCTGAGCCGAAGGCAGTCGCTTAACCAACTGAGCCACCCAGGCGCCCCATACAGTCTTAAGTTCCATTAGACCCTAACTCGTAAGCATCATTCGGCACTAGGAAGCTCTATCCTGGTGACCATCCATGAGCAATAACTTAAAATCAAATAACAGTTCTCCATTCTAAGATCTCATCAAGTTTAAGGTGTACTGTTGATTTAATTATAGCTTCTCTGAGAGTTGGAAGTAAAGATGTGCTACTTGAAACATACACGTGTGACCTGAGTTCAGACATGTCTCATTATAAAAGAGTAGGCATCTAAGAATTCTAGAAATATGGCAGAATTCCCCAGCCTTGGGCAGACTTGTTTATACATCCTGACTCAGTTTCTCTTTAAGTTTCCTTTTAAAGCCTCCTCAGGGAGAAACACAGATAACCGGAATTGTCCTAAAGCTTTGTTACCTCCAAAGGCTCAAGAACTCTCCAGCATTCCTGCTGATTAAACCCACGTTAAATGTAGTTAGAAATAGGATCCATGAGAATCCTGCACTTAGGAAATCATGGGGCAGGAGCCTGGTGCACCACGGAAGTCCTTACTTCCAAAAAGAGGAAAACCCACCTCTCAGGCTCACAGTAGAAGGGATTTTTTACCTTTTGCTGAAGCTGATGTGGCTGGAGTGTTGTTCATTTTCTTTTAATATTCTAGGACTGGTCTTAAGTATCACCAGAATTTTTCTTGGCCATGAGCTCTAGCAAGCAAAACTCAAAATGAAGGAGGAACTGTGCTTGCATTGCACAAAGCATAGCTCTTTGATAGGCTAACTGACCACGGAGTCTAGCCCTACCAGGGTCAGGCAGCGGGCAGGGGCTGTGGCCAAGGGAAGCATGCAGCTCCCCCCACCCCCGCCCCGAAGCAGACAGCTACTTCACAATACCAGTTGATTGTTGCCGTGTGGTAATACAGCCCAGGGTTTCCAGATCTGAATTTTGTCAGAAGCTGGTAAAACAGATTTTTGTGAGCAATCTCCTGATTTTTATGTTGGCAGTGAATTCCATTTTCTAAAACTTGCAGGTATGACACACCGTGTTTTTGAGATAATTGCAGCTGTGGGCTCCTGCTGGTTGTTTCTGGGCTACATGTTTAGCATTAAGTGAGCCTCTACTATAAGAAGGTAGTCCTGGGGCACCTGGATGGCTCAGTTAGTTAAGCAACCAACTCTTGGTTTTGCGACAAGTCATGATCTCAGGGTCATGAGATCGAGCCCTGTATCGGGCTCTGTGATCAGCATGGAGTCTGTTTGAGGGTCTCTCTCTCTCCTTCTCCTTCTGCCCCTCCTCCTGCTCATGCACTCATTTTCTCTCTCTCTAAAATAAATAAATCTTAAAAAAAAAAAAAAAGAAGGTATCCCATCACTGACGCAACATGGAATGCTTTCTCTGCCTGCCCCCCTCCCCCATCATAGAGGCATTCCTGGAAATGCAAGCACTTTCCAGGGGGCTTTCTCAGTACACTTGATGTTTCAAAAGGTGCATTGCCCTCCCTATGCCATGTTGGTATTTTGAAAGACTCCCTCAGTGAGGTCCATTTTTTTACAATTAAAATGGGATTTTGGAGTCCCCCGCCATGGAAACTGCTTATAGTAAGTAGCCCAAAAGCATACAGAATATCATTGAAATCATCTGCCACATGGTCTATGGGCAATCTTAGAGTAGACAAACGAGTAATTTGGCTAATATTAGCAACCTTGCCAGATTGCACATAGGGAAATTTACTAATTGTCGGTTCTCAGATATTTTAGAAGTGTTATATGAATGGAGATTCTTTTCTTGCCTGGAGGCAAGCATGCAAGTTGCTTAAAAGGTAATTGGGACAGTTACGGGAAGAAAAGCATGTCAGATGCATGATCCCATTGCTTGGGGACTGTTTCATAGGGATGAGACTGTATCTTAGAAGAAATGATTAAAAAGAGACCAGGAAGGCTTACAGAGCAGTTGGTACCCAAACGCAGTAATTAAAGGTTGAATTCCTCAGGGGCCCTACTCTGTGTCCTTAGGCGAGTAATATTCACCATTGTGCTGTAAACCATTTGAGAAAAATATGTTATCTGATAGAATCTTTCCAGGATTTGTCTAATATCTGTTCAGTGCTCAGAATAGTTGGTGTTGCCACTTTTACTTTGCATAGCTGTTCCACACGAGTTAGAGAATAGAAATGCCTTGGGGATGGGGCACCTGGGTGGCTCAGTTCCGAGTCTTGATTTCAGCTCAGGTCACGATCTCAGGTCATGACCTCAGGGTCGTGGGATCAAGCCCTGAATCAGGCTCCATGCTCAACAGGAGGTTTGCTTCAGATTCTCCCTCTCCCTCTGCCTCTTCCACTTGTATGCGTGTGCACCCTCTCTCTCTCTCAAATAAATCTTTTTTTCTTTCAAAAAAAGAAATGCCTTTGCAATGGATATTGTTAAATGTTTAGATGGAAAGCATGTTTTTGGAGATCAGGGGAACTTCTTTGTATCTCTGAATTTCTATCATCTTCTAGTATTTTCGAACTATACATCTCAGCACACTTGTGTCCCTGCAGATGAAATATAAAATCTTAAATTCATTTAATATATGCAGCCTTGTTTCTAGTAAGTTCTGCTTTCTGGGTACAGCACAAATAGGAAACTGAAGACTCTTGTTTAATTGCCTAAGCTTTAGGGAATGAAGGAGATAATACAACGACACTGGGAAATAATCATCCCTGTGTACTGATCATAAAATCTAGGTGCAATGTTCGTGTTGTCCAGGCCTGCCCAGCTCCCACAGCTTGAGAAAGAAATGAACAAGGTCACAGGAGAGCCAGTTGTGGAGTCAAATTTATTTATATGGAGAATGAAATACTTCCCAATTTAAGAACAGATCGTTAAAGCAAGGGGAGGACATGTCTCACACATGCATTTTCTGTTATGAGTTTTCTCTTGCTGAGTCCTGTGGGCACCATCGTTAGCAGGCTCCACATCGCTGCATTTTTAATTCAGTGAAACATGAAAAGATCCGGTTCTAAAATGGAATGCTTCACACTTTTAATTGCTCTTCCCCTCCCCCCTTTTATTTTCTTTTAGTCCTTGAAGAAAGTAACTGCTCAGACCCTGGGGGCCCAGTCAATGGGTACAAGAAAGTAACAGGAGGCCCGGGGCTTATCAACGGGCGCTATGCAAAAATTGGCACCATCGTGTCCTTCTTTTGTAATAACTCATACGTTCTTAGTGGCAATGAGAAGAGAACTTGCCAGCAGAATGGAGAGTGGTCGGGGAAACAGCCCATCTGCCTAAAAGGTAACTGACGAGTATTTGTGAAGTATATTTCCACAGAAATAGATGGAGTGGCTGGACTTTTTGGTAGCTCCCTACATGTGTGTGAGCCCCTGAAAAAATGCCTTTCCCTCTTAGGTTCTCACTGGAACCATCTATCACTCCTAGGTGGAAGGCCATCCCTGAAAACATATGCTTCTTTTTCGGACCTCCAGAGGACCTGCTTATCCTAATCACAGCTTCTCACTGTGATCAAGAAGAGTTACAAAGTTATCAGAGCAGTTTAGGGGAGATGACAGGGCTGGGTTTTATATATGTAAACCCAAGAACAAAATTGAGGCAGTCAATGGGCTCCAATGTAGCTACATTTATCTACTCTCTATGAAATAGGAAGTTGGTGCAGGAAATAAAAGAACAAAATAGACACACTATCCCTGCCAGCCTGTGTGGTGGGAGGTTTAAGATGTTAACATAATGGAAAACATCTTAATAAGATAGCAAGACCTCCAGCATTCAAGGCAGAGTTAGAGGAAATGGATGAGCAGTGTATGTTGAGAGAAAGGAGCAATCAATATTGCTTGAAATAGGGACAGTTGTAGGCAGCAGGTAGGAGCCGAGCCAATCTGGGAAGCTGGGAAGAGTTTGCAAGAGGTGCAGAGCAGTTGGGATGATATTCCCATCATAAGACAAAGGAAAATAAGACAAGGAGTATAGGCAGAAGTGAAAGGATCATGGTAAACTCAAAGTGGGGCCAACTGGGAATCTGGAAAGTAGATTGAAAAGGTTGGTTTGGGACCAGGAAACATGGAACGTTGTATAGAGAAGCTTGAAACTTACCCCTTGGCAGTGGGGATGCGTAGTTTTTTACTGAACCAGGTCAACAGCCCCTGTATTTTAGGGGCAGGTCACAATTATCTGGCTGTTTCCTAGGAAGAAAAGCATGTCCTTGGCCTAGATTACCCAGATAATTGCCTTAATCCTCCACTTTCCCTTCTGGGTGTTTGTCAACAACCCAACTCATGGGAAAAGAAATAAAAGAGAACGGTTTGTGAAAGGAATAAATCACTTTAGACTTTAGCCAGAAGCGACCTTCATCCCCACCAGCACAGACTCTGATTCTTGATTTCATTAAATATGGAAACAGTGTTTCATATGTCCTTGGAGATTTTTGTCAACTCTTCTCTTACAAATTAATAACAACCAAAGTTCTCTAGTTTACTAATTAGATGAATGTTGGCTGCTTGATTGGGAAAGTGAAGAAAAAGACACTTCAGCAAAATTAAGCCTGGGCTTTGAGGTGCCTTCAAATAATCATTAAGAGCCTCGGTTTCAGAGGAAGGAACTAGAGGAAGCAGCTACCCAAGACTTACCCATGGTTGACACTGCCCATCTGGTCTTAAATGAGAGCCTTGTAGTTCCCTGTGTTGGGATGTATTTTAGAACCTTCATTTTTGACTGTGACTCCACGTTCCATCAAGTTCACTGATGATACTTGTGGGAACAGAGAGTCCCAGTCTAATGACTGCCAGGGTTTCACATCACCCGGGTGGAGTGGTTTTTCAGAGGTGCGTCCTCCATGGGGGTTCTTCAGAGGGGGTTGTCGATTTCGATGAAAGGCAGCATGCTCTTTTGCTCGGGAGCTGTCCAAACTTGGCTGGCACACCTCCTCTCTCAGACCTCTGCGGGGTGTCCAGAAAGGATGGTCAGGGATGAATCTGAACTGAATGAACATGAGCAGTTAATATGGGAAAAGCTGATGCCCTCTTTTCTCCTTCATTCTAGCCTGCCGAGAACCAAAGATCTCAGACTTGGTGAGACGCAGAGTTCTTCCCATGCAGTTTCAGTCAAGGTGAGGTCGAAACACCTGAGCTCTGCTTTCAAGGGGAATGCGTGTGTCCCTTCCCGCCCCTTTTCCCCACTTGTGTTTGGCCAAAGACAGTCTGGGGTTTTTTAGGGACACTCAATGCTGACTGCTCATGAAAGAATAGGGCCTGTTAGAGGGAGGCTGATGAGCCAGCTGCCTTTGGCCAAGAGGTAGCAACTGCTGGAACATGGACACAGTTCATGGGATCGTGGGAAAGTAGGTGGATCTTGAGACTTGAAGATGACCTTTGAGGAACTGGATTTTAATACTTGAGTCTTCCTGAAATTGCTGTGTGTTGCCTAGGGCAGCTTCTAGGGAGGTGGCCTTCCTGCCACATGCAACCAGCTTTGGCAACCATGCAACCAAGATGTTCTTGGTGGTAATCAACCAGATGAGGCAGGCCACTGGCACCCAGGAACTAGAGATAAATGACCAGCCCCGGTGAGGGATGGGAGCCCTCAGATATGCCTGCCTGGCCTTCCTCCTGGGAAGACAGAGGTGGGGACCACCGGTGGGCAGAGAATCGGCCCGGTTCTGCTTCTTCTCTCCTCGTTTTGTAGGAGAAACTGTTCTCTCTTCATCTCATACCATTCTCCTCTTTCCCTCCACTCTGGCCCACGGGCCGCCCAGCTTGTCCCCGCCCCCTCCCCCCAAAGTGCTGCATCAGAGCCTTGGCCCTTCTGTCTGGACCCTGCTTCTGCTGCGTTTCCGTGAGGTTTAAAGCCATGCTGCCGTCCGCTCCCTGCTCAGTTTTTACCTGGCAGAGAGATCTTCCCTGACCGTCCTTTGGAAAATAAGAACCACCCCCCCTTCTTCTTTATCCATTCATCTGCTGAAGGATGCAACTGATGAATCGTTGAACACTACATCCAAAACTAACGATGTACTAGGGGCGCCTGGGTGGCTCAGTCAGCTAAGCGTCTGCCTTCAGCTTGGGTCTTGATCCCAGGGTCCTGGGATTGAGCCCCCGTCAGGCTCCCTGCTCAGTGGGGAGCCTGCTTCTCTCTCTCCCTCTGCCACTCCCCCTGCTTGTGCTCATAGGCTCTATCTCTCTGTCAAATAAATAAAATCTTAAAAAAAAAAAAAAAACCACCTAACGATGTACTATATGTTGGCTAGCTGAACATAAAAAAAAAAGAACCCCCCCAAATGTTATAGTACTAGTTAATGTTTTCTCCTTTTACACTTTACATAAAAACAAAGCCATCACCAACCTCAAAGAGTCGATCAATTAAAAGAAGAATAATAACCCCACCTCAACCCTGACTGCAGAGCTGACTTCTTTGCTCTCCTGCATTTTCTGTGCCTCAGATGTCAGCTTAGCTCCAGCCCTACCTGTCATCCTACCTAGGTTTTTGTTGTTGTTGTTGTTGTTCAATTTCTGTCTCTACCTAACCCTTCAAAAATAAAAGTTACCTGAACATTTTCTGTTTCGTTCATGCTCAAGTTCTGGGACCAAGAGCAACGCTTGCTGCAGGGGAGGCACCCCCCCACCCAAAATAACCATCCCAAACAGTGAATGAATGAATGAACAAGATTGACAAATAATGGCTCGAGACCGAGTTCAGTCTTTCTTAAGCACTGTATTCTTGGGCAGGTTGCTAAACTTGCTAAGCCTTTGGTCTCCTCCTTTGAAAAGTAAGGGCAATCCTAAAAACGCCAGTCTGGGGATTGCTGTACGGATTAGATGCAGCACACAGAGCTAGCTAGCATTTATTGAGTGTTCGCCATGTGCCAGTTACTCTTCTGAGTGCTTTCCACGTTGTTAGCTCGTTTAATCTTTCCTACAACCTCTGAGGTAGGTATTACTATTATTAGCGTTTTCTGGTCGGTTTTATTACCAGTTTTATTATGGATGGGTAAAGTGAGGCTTGGAGAAATTAATTAACTCGCCCCAGGTCACATTGCAAAATGTGGATCCAGGATGCAAATCCAGGATCTTCAGAGTCTTCAGCGTCTTCAGGGTCTGCTCCCGTATGCGCGAAGCTGCAGCCTAGCCCCATGTAAAGGCTTTAGCCAACCACTCACGCAAATGAGCAGCGGTTAGTGGCAGCTATCGCCTTCGGGACCCGTAACAACGAATCCCAGTGATTAGAACTGACCCCAGCCAAGTGACCTCAAATACTCCGAAAGCAGGATAGCCATCAATCTCTCACCTTTCCTCTGGATATTTCCTTCTATCTCTGTCTTTCCCGTTTCAGGCAAGGCATTTCCTTGGGAACAGTGACAGTGAAATACAAATTCCATCTTTTCCTGATCTTTATGATGTGCCTGGAGCTGGACTCTCCACTAAGTGGGATGAACCTGTTCTTTCCAACAAAACATCTTGTAGAGGAGCCCCTGAACTACTAAAAAAGACCCCTGGGCTTTGCATTTTTAAGGCAATTATAATGGAAGGTTAGGTGACAAGGTGCCAGGTGGCTCATGTGGATGAAAAGGCAAGACTAACACTTGGTTTTAAGGATCTTTCTGGAAGATAGGCTGCTGGAATATGGATATACCTATCTCCAGCAGCCCAGTCACCCAAGGACCCCAGAAGGCACTGTAGTCTTTCAACAGATGGACCAGAAGATGAGCTGGTTTGCCAGTAAGAAAGCTCCTTGAATGACAGACCTTGTTCTAAACATGAGCTAAAGATTCACTGAATGAAATGTGAATGGAACATTTGCTCTGAGGGAAGCGCTATACAGACACATGAAATAGATTTCTTCGGATGACATCGGATGGCACAGTAGAGACACCAGGTTGGGAGTCGTAATTGCTCAGTGCTGCCTTGGGTACCATCTTAGCTTCCTGTGTGCCCTTCTCTACTCCCACTTCCCCCTCCAGCCTTCCTTTTCCCATTCATTAAACAGAGACGAACACACCGTTTCCTAGAGGAATTCTGACTTCTCAGTTAGTGGTTGTTATGTGCTGATTAAAATGAACGCAGGTTGTCCAACGTGTGTACATCTTCCCCCAAGAATCCCCAAGTGGTCTCTGGGGGGCTTCAGCTTCTAGGGCTCATTTAAAAGGCCTTTTCACATTTACACACACTGCTCTGTATTTCTGCCAATCAGTGTGCCCTGAGAAGGTCCTATTCTCTGAGGTGTGCTAATTACAGACGCTGATTGCGAAATCCAGCTACTGTATCCACATGGTTTAGTTCAAGTCAGTTCCTGATATTGCCCCATTATAATGTTTGGAGGAAAAAAAGATGCTGGTCTTCAGAGGAACTTCCTTTCCTGTTTAATTTCACAGTTAATTTCTCTCTGTGCGCATGGACTGGGTAGCAGTCCCTTGGATAGCAGCTATTATGCCAGATATTATCCTCTGGTTAAAATCGTAGGCAGCCGGAGGCATGCCAGAAATGGAAACGGAGGAACAGAATGAAGGTTGAGGCGTGCAAGAGAATTTGCTCGGTGGTAGAGGGGAAGTGTGTGTGCGTGTGTGTGCGCGCGTGCGCATGCGCATGGTTGGGGGGGTGGGAAGGGGCAAATGGGAGAGAGACACACAGAGAAGGAGACAGCCATGTTTTTTCCTGCTGTGACCAAATGTCTACGTGGGGGTGCGCACGTGGACCACAGGGGCCACAATGACTCTCTCTGGGCCCCCATGCAGGGAGACGCCATTACACCAGCTCTACTCGGCCTCCTTGAGCAAGCAAAAGCTGCAGGGCGCCCCCACCAAGAAGCCAGCCCTTCCCTTTGGAGACCTGCCCCCCGGGTTCCAGCATCTGCACACCCAGCTCCAGTATGAGTGCATCTCGCCTTTCTACCGCCGCCTGGGCAGCAGCCGCAGGACGTGCCTGCGGACCGGGAAGTGGAGTGGGCGAGCCCCGTCCTGCGTCCCCAGTGAGTCGGGCCTTGCCCGGCGGCGGGCGTGGCGTCCGGCTTCCGTGGCTGCTTGTGAAAAGCCATCGACCCAGTTGAAGACTTTTTGGGAAAGGGTCCTTGTCCAGTGGGCCTCCAGCTAATTCCCTAGCTTGGTTCTGTCTCATATTCCACAGTTGGAGCTTCCTTCCTTTGCCTTAAACTTCTAACTCGGGAGAAACTAACTCATTAGGTCTTCGATGAATTTTTTTGGAGAGGGGCATTCTTCTTTGTGGATAATTCTTTATTTTTTATTTATTTTTTAGAAGATTTTATGTATTTATCTGAGAGAGAGAGAGTGCGTGCGCACATGCAGGGGAGAGGCAGAGGGAGAAGCAGGCTCCTCGCTGAGCAGGGAGACCGTTGTGGGGCTCGATCCCAGCACCCCAAGATCGTGACCTGAGCTGAAGGCATTTAACATTTAACCAACTGAGCCAGCCAGGCACCCCTCCTTGTGGATAACTCTTGTCATGTTCACTTGGAGGAAAGGGAGAGAACCATCATTAAGCACCAAGTAGGGGAAGGATTAACGATACCAGAAGGCTTCTACTTATGCCATCTTGGATACCCTGTCTGAGCCCGTTTTCATGCTTATCATCCCATGGTATTGAATAGTTAGTTATTGATTAGGTGATGAGGTATTAAGTAGCCATGAGATTATGGTGATGATTACTGAGGTAATATGTGAAAGTATCTGGAAAAGAGCCTGGCACATGCTAAATTCTACCTTCCCCACCCTCTTTGTCAAAGGAGAACAGTATGGCTTAATTCTCTGTGGTCAAGTTTATAACGATAGTCATGATATTATGAGTCTGACTGTTTACATAGATCATTATCCAGTCTCGTTAAGAACGCTGTGAGACAAATGTGATTACAAGACCCATTTTGCAGGCAAGAGGACTGAGGCTTTAAGAGATTTGGCAATTTGTCCAAAGTCCTATTGATAGAACGTGCCTGGGATCCCAAGCCTTCCATCTTAACCCCAGACTTGATAGCCAACCATGTCAAGATGGTTGATTACTATTTAATGGGAAAAGGAAAACATCTTAGATGCTTAGTGGTCATCACACCCATGGGGCCCACCTTTCCAGATGTGTGTTCTCTTGGTTGAGCCACACATTCCCCTTTGTATGGGAAAGTTTGAGTTTATCTGACTGAGCTGGTGCTTTCTCCACAGTCTGCGGGAAAACTGAGAACGTCACTGGTCCGAAGAGCCAGGGGCTGCGCTGGCCGTGGCAGGCGGCCATCTACAGGAGGGCCAGCGGGGTGCATGGTGGCAGCCCGCACAAGGACACGTGGTTCCTGGTCTGCAGCGGCGCCCTGGTGAATGAGCGCACCGTGGTGGTGGCTGCCCACTGCGTAACTGACCTGGGGAGGGTCACCATGATCAAGACAGCAGACCTCAAAGTTGTCCTGGGGAAATTCTACCGGGATGATGACCGAGATGAGAAGACCATCCAGAGCTTGCGGGTGAGAGAGGGCTGTAACCTGGAAACCGGGTGTTGGCTCAGCAAACTCCAGGCACCGGGAGGGCAGTGGCTGTCAGTCCCGACACCTTGGCATGTTAGCTCCCAGCCCGGAGCCTGGCAGAGCCTGGCCAGGGAGCAAGCGTCCAGTATTTCACATAGAGACTAGAAAGGAAAAAAGACTACAGAGTCTTTTTCCCTTTTGTTTTCAAAATAAGATTATAATAAATATCATCTATCCCTGTGGTTGTCAAAAGTTAATCACCTATTATGTTTAGAGCATTGTATGAGGTAGGCTTCGAGGACTTAGAAAGGTTTTATCCAAGATACTCCTAATCAATCTATAATATTCTTCTGTCTATCTCCCTCCCTCCCTCTCTTCCATCCACCTACCCACCCACCTCTCTGTCCATCTGTCCATCCATCTGTCCATCTATCCATTCATTGTTGAGCTCCCACAGTATGCCATTCACAGGGAAGAGATACAGAACTGAATAAGGCATGGTCTTTGCCCTGAAGAATCCACAGGCTAGTGGAAGAGACAGACCAGCATATCATGATTAGTTTGACACAAGAGAAGCCCTGAGGAAATGTGCCCAAATACAGTTGAAGTAATAGAACGTGTACATAAAAATGTTAGAATGTGTCACACATGTAAGCTCCTAGAGGCCCCCATCAAAGAGAGTGACCAGCAAGGGTTGGGAAAATGAGCAAAGACTGTGGAAAAGTCTTGTGGAACATTCTGGGTGTGGCTCTGTCTTACTGGCTTCCCGATGAATGAGACGTGTACAGCGAGCCAGAGGTTGTAGTCTGGTGGCCTTTTAGGGGTTTGTGTCTGCGTAGTGCTAACATACATTTTTTTAACCAGTTATTTGCTAACATTTAAAAATCAGGAGGTTCAGATGCAGATCTGGAGTCTGTTCTCTGACAAAGTTAGAAAGCTGGCCCCCTCTTGGCCTGGCAGTGGTCACTGGAGCAGAGGGGCCACTCCCCACTTTAGAATGGGGTAGGCACCACCATCCTCTGCAGCCCCGTCTGCCACCCCACTTAGTTAACACCACCTGCCTTCCCCTTCACTGGGCAGCAGTGGGCATTTCACTTCGCAAGCCCCCAAAGAAAGCGGTTGTTTTCTATGACCCCTGAAGCAGAGTCTCTCCAAACCACTGCAGCTGTCTACAAGACACTTTCCCCCGGTTATTTAGCCGCGGGGCTTGCCTGTTCTTATTCCCCGTGCAGTCATGGCTCAGCACTGCTGTCCGTCTCTTGCATTCATAGATTTCTGCAGTCATTCTGCATCCCAACTACGACCCCATCCTGCTGGACACAGACATCGCCATCCTGAAGCTCCTGGACAAGGCTCGCATCAGCACCCGCGTCCAGCCCGTCTGCCTCGCAGCCCCGCGGGACCTGAGCGCCTCCTTCCAGGAGTCGCGCATCACTGTGGCCGGCTGGAACGTGCTGGCCGACGCGAGAAGCCCTGGCCTCAAGAACGACACGCTGCGCTCGGGGGCGGTCAGGGTGGTGGACTCGCTGCTGTGTGAGGAGCAGCACGAAGAGCACGGCATCCCTGTGAGTGTCACAGACAACATGTTCTGTGCCAACCGGGACCCCGCTGCCCCCTCTGATATCTGCCCGGCAGAGACGGGAGGCATCGCTGCCGTGTCGTTCCCGGGACGGGCGTCCCCCGAGCCACGCTGGCATCTGGTGGGGCTGGTCAGCTGGAGCTATGACAAGACCTGCAGCCACAGCCTCTCCACGGCCTTCAGCAAGGTCCTGCCTTTTAAAGACTGGATCGAGAGAAACATGAAGTGAGCCTCAGGCCCGTTGAGATGCTGTTCGGGCGCCCATCCCATCCGTACGTGTGTTGCACGAGGCCGCGTGGGCCTGAAGCTTCACTCTGCCTGTGAATTTGGCCGGCCCAGGGCTTCTGACTTCGGGATCGAAACTCAGTGGAGAGTGAGTAGAGCTCACCTTCAGGTAGGCCACTGTGTCCCTGGCTGTGGAGGCCATGTGGAAGATACCAGGGCTGCTTGCGAGAACCGAGTCCCCGCCAAAGAGACCATGCAAAGAGCAAAGCTTTGGTCCCCATTCCACCAGCCTGGTGACCTTGCCCACCGGCCCTGCAGTCAATGTCATGGCCAGCTCTGGCCGAGAGAGGCTTGGCCAAGAAGTCTGAGATTCATGAGGTCTCTTCCAAGACTCTGGCCAGACCACGTTCCAGAAAGCTGCGTGTGGGACAGCCCAGGACAGCAGGGCTCAGATGTGGCCTCGACGTTTGTGTACATTGCCACAGTAAAGTGTGGTCCTTTTCTTTCTCAATCCCCTGTACGTCTTTTAATAAAACGAGGGTTGGCTTCTGACCTACAGAACAAATGGGCTGTGGCTCTGATTTCTGCATGCTGCTTCTCAGGGCAATGGCTTGGTGACAGCCCTTTGAATAGCTCCTCAAGTTATCATTTCCAAACAATGAGTACAGCAAAGTTGATGCCATCTTTTCAATACCAGCCCCGAATGTGCTGGGTTATGGGCTGGAGGAGGAGCGACATGGGGGGCCATCAGATAAGGCACAAACAGAGGAAAATACCAAGGATTAGATGATTTCCAGTGTCCCCTCTGGTTCTCATGTCCTCGATCTAGCACAAAACTCAGCTTTGAACCTCCATCAATCTTGATAACATGTTTTCATAGCTTCTGAATTGTCATCACCTCTTTACTCACACTAGACTGAGATATGATTCCCAGTTTTCTGTAACTGATGGGGATTTTCCTTTCAAGCCCCACCTGGTTCCCACTGGATAGTGGAGGGAAAAAAATGAATTCAATCCAGTCCCTGAAGCGATCTTTTCAGTAACATTCACTTTTGTGGGTGGGGGTTACTCACCCTTTTATCCTTTTTTCCCTACTCTCCTGGCCAGTCTCCTGCCTTCCCAGATGGTGCTGGGGAGGCTGGGAGCTTCAAGCATGGGGAGACACTGGGACTCCCGACGGCCTGCTGGCTTTTTGGGTGTGTGTGGTGGGTCTTTCCCGTTCCTGGCCGTTCCGCTGACATTGACCTCAGGTGCTATGGCTGTAACCACTGAAACTTGGGCTGTGTTCTCTCTGCTTCCCTGGGGCCCGGCAGTCCTCCTTGTTGGTGTGGGCTCCTCCTCACCCCTGGCTGACACTGGTACTCCTGAGATGTGGGGGTGACCCCCTTTGAGACCCTGGTTTGGGTCTCACTGCCCCAGTGAGAGCTTTCTCGGCCAGCCATCCAGCCAGACTCTCTGTGACCTCCCCTTCCTACTGTGGGGGCTTTTCTGTACTTCATGAGGGCTGAGAGCCCAGGATTGGGACAGGGAACCCTGGAAGACATTCACCTCCTATACACCCAAACAGGAACATTACTCCTTCTCAACCTATTGGAGAGAATTTTGATCTCTGGGTCTTTAACCCCGACACAGGAGGTTAGGATACATTTGTCTTCCAAACTGCCTTACCAACTCTGTGTCTTTACATCGTCCCCAGAGCCAGAAGACAGTTTCTGGTACCTTATCTTTTTGTCAGGCTTTCTTGGGGCTTTCCATAATCTGTACCCACCTCCTTTCTCATGGCTTAATCTAAGAGCAATGTATTAGTTATCGACTTCTGAGTAACAAACATGTAATGCTTGTGGGTTAGAACAGGCAGTATTTATTTTCTCCTAGCTCCAGTGGGTCAGGAATTAGGGAACTGAGGTTGGCATGGGGTTGTAGTCATCTGAGGCCTTAATTGGGGCTGGGGCATTGGGTTCAACAAATACTGGGTTCAACCAGGTTGCTCAAAGTTTTTTTCCGTCTATTTTTTAAGCCTAGAAAACTTGGATCTTGAGAGGTACAGTGGAAATCTGAGCAAAGAGATCTAGATTCAAATTTTTGCTTTTCTTTCTTTTTTTTTTTTTTTGAAAGATTTTATTTATTTTGACAGAGAGAGAGAGAGCACAAGCAGGGGGAGCGGCAGGCAGAGGGAGAGGGAGAAGCAGACTCCCTGCTGAGCAGGGAGCCCGATGCGGGACTCGATCCTGGGACTCCAGGATCATGCCCTGAGCCGAAGGCAGTCGCTTACCCAACTGAGCCACCCAGGCGCCCTTTCTTTTTTTTTTTTTGAAAAATTTTATTTATTTATTTTAACAGAGAGAGAGAGAGAGCACAAGCAGGGGGAGCGGCAGGCAGAGGGAGAGGGAGAAGCAGACTCCCTGCTGAGCAGGGAGCCTGATGCGGGACTCGATCCCAGGGCACTGGGATCATGACCTGAGCCGAAGGCAGTCGCTTACCCAACTGAGCCACCCAGGTACCCCTAAATTTCTGCTTTTCAACTTCTTTTTCTAAGTGACCTTGGGCAAGTCACCTAACATCTCTCTACCTCAGTTTCACTAACAGTTAGGTTGACATAGTAAAATCTGTCTTTTGTGGTAGCTGTGATGACCTGGTGAAATACCATGTGAAGCGCCGAGCGTAGCACGTGGCTCGTAGCTGGTGCCTACGGTGCCTGGCAGGGACAGGGCTGTCCAGCTGGGCACAGATCCCTAGAGCCTGTGCCTGTGCTTCTGTGGACATGTCCCACGTGGGTGCGCGCACGTGCACACCTTATTCTCTAACTCTGTCCTGACCCCCCACCCGGACCATCAGTGCCCTACTTTCTTGGCATCCCTACTCAGGGTCATTTTCCATCCTTGCCCCACCATTCAGATTTGGTTCACATTTATGTCATTTCAGCTATGACTTTGATCCCTTCAGAAGCTGAATCCGGCCCCAAATCCTGGTGATCCTGCCTCATGGTACTTGGTTGATCGTTTCTACCCCACCCCCCAGAGCTTCCCAACCCAGCACTGCTCTCATGGGCTACAAGCACCCAGCCATGCTGACCTAAACCTCTAGGTCAGGACGAGAGTCAGACAGCAGCCTGTCCCTTGGCCATATCTGGTGCCATAGAAGTGTCATCCATCTCTTTATGACATGGCCCTGACATCCTAGGTTGGAGCTCTAAGGATGAGAGATCTCTTTCTCAGCTGGGACTCTGGAATGGTCCACCGGTCAGGGTTTATTCTGAGAATCGGAACTTCTATGAATCCTATAGAATAAGGGATTATAATGACCACATACAATTGTGGGTAATGGTAGGGAAGCCTGTGGGAGGCTGTTGCCTTTGCATCTGGTGTTGAACCTGAAGTCAATAGGGCCAGAAAGCTGGATGGGAAGTTGGCAGAGCCAAGGACAAGCTGAGACCTCCGAGGATGAAGGGAAGCCCACGTGTTCCCTTGCTGTCCCCAATCTCAATGACCTTCAGGAGAAGCTGACACCCCTTGCATGTAGCTGTATGCACACCTGATCCAGGACACTCAGAGAAGCCAGAAGAGGATTTCCAGCAGGTGCCAGAGGAGCTGTGGGCCCAGGTGCTGTCCCTCCCCAGCAAGGTGAGCTGGGGGATCAGTGACAATGTATATGAACTGTCACGGCGACTGGTGTGCCACCAACTTTCTGAGCATGGAGGTAGCTGCTCCACTCTCCTCTTCAAATCTCATGTAAATTTCTCTTGTGCCCGCTCTCCCCTGCAATCATACAAGGAGGGGAACTCTGGTTCCAGCTTCCCCTAAGTTGACCTAGAAAAAAACCATCGCAAGTCACGAAATATGAATGCCGGACCAATGTTTGTAAACTCAGAATGCGTCTGGGGGAAGCCTGAGAAGACTTCTGCTTCAGCCAGAAGAGTTTGGTTCTAATTCCTTTTACAGTAGTTCTTTAGTCTTTTATGCACGTGCAGCCCCCAACATCGAGCGTTCTTGAGGAGCTGGCCTGGCACTCGTAGCTAGGCTGTGGTGTTCTCATGTTGAAGGTCACTAATTTCACAATATGCCAATATCGGTCAAGATCATCTGTGACTGTGATGGATCAAGACACCAACAAGACCACATCATCTTGTCTATGAACAGACAAAAGCAAGGTCACCATACAAACCACAAAAATACCAAATATTCCCTCCAGTTAGTACGTGTGACCACTGCTTCTACCAATTACAGTTTAGCCTTGAGCTGGTCTTCTTTCCTTTTAGATAAGATTTATTAAGGTAGCCATTATAGAATTTGCCTCCCCTTACTGATAGGACCCAATCCAGAACAAAGCCCCGCTTCCTTGAAACCTCCCCCAAATCACCTGATAGAAGCTCAAATCCTACACATTCTTTCTAATTCTATTTTGGCAATATACCCCACAGTTCCCTATGAACATTACTCTTTGAAATACATTCTCAGAGAGTAATTAAGTCTGACTTGCTTAACTGTTGGTGTGTTTCTGGCGGTCTTTGGCTGGAGGTCATTGGAAAAAAAAATGTATATACACATATATATACTTCTATGTATATAAGTAAGAGTCTTGCCTAAGTCATATAGGTCTTACTTAAGTTTTATATACCCTATGATGACATTTACCTGATATATAAAATGTAAGTAAAGTCTGTATGACTTAGGCAAGACTCTCACCTTCCCTAGGAGTGGCCAGGCTTACACATCAAGCGGACTGACTAGTCAACTGACTAGTCAAGTCACACTGTATTCTCTCATATAAACTCCAGCGGGGATTGGGACGAAGGGGCAATCCACACAGGCCAACATTTCCATTTAACTCGTCATTCACAGGGTAGTTAGCACTTCAGCTGAGTCTTTGGAGTGGTGGATGGGAAGGAAGTAGGATATTATAAGTACAGAAAGAACTTGGCAAGTACCTAAGTTCAAGCTTGGAGAGAGATGGCCTGGAGAAGGGCCAATTATTTCCCAACACGAGCCCTTTATTACAGAGACGGGTGAGGTTGGCCAGCCAAGGCAAAAGCGCAGTCAAGGCGAAGTCAGCTGGTGGTGGATTGCAAATGCTAGTGTTAATAATTTGGCTTCTTATTGCCCATTGGCAAATATCAAGTTCACGGGATGTCTCCAGGAGGGAAAGGATAGAAGTGGAATCCTAGAAAGTCCCATCAGGCTGGTTGTACAGACAGAGGCGGTGGTTAGAAGACGCAGCCTGAGCTCAAACTCCAGCTCTCTCAAGTTGCACACTGTGACCTTGAACGTGATGCTCCATCTCTCTCCTGCAGTTTCCTCCTCTGTAAATGGGAGTGACATGATATGAGGATAATGCGTACATGAATTCAGCATGTAAGACGGTGTCTGACCCATTGCACTCTGTCAATATCGGCCGATGTTATGGTTTTCGTTTTGTTGTTCTTCAAGAGCAGGAGATTAGAGATCTAGGAACCAGTTGGGAGAAAACTTACAAGGGTCCAAGAGGAGAAGAGAAGTCTTAGAATCCCAGCATGCGGAAATAAGTTTGATAATCTGTGGAGTGGGGTTGATTGCAGGAAAGG